AATGGGATTATTCTCATTAGAGAAATAGTACACGCTCATGAGCTCTGAAGAACTTCCAGAGTCAACAAGCAACAATGAAGGGGCATCTCTAAACACTAGTAACAGTATTTTGGTTCATGCAAAAGTTATAAACGAGAAAAATGAAACTAAAAATCAAGGGAAACAATGAACTTTCAGAGAAACTCTTGTCTCTGAAATCTGGATGGAGTTAGCCCCTGACAAAGGTGCCCGAACACTACAGGATGTAAAACCAGATTGGATAAGTCACTTTTTTTAATGCACTCCATTTATGTAAGAATCAAAAGACTCTCACAACCTACTCTGAAAAGCAGTGTTCATATCTAATGCCCAGAATACTATTAATAACCCTTTCTGCTATCTAATTTTATTTTGAAATTTTAAGTCCTAGATTCTAGGAATGTCCTATCTGCGGACCAATATATATAAAAAGAGAAAACACCTCGGAGGAATCACCCTCTAAATAAAAAAGAGATAAGTCGGTCTGCACAAACACAGCCAGTGCACACGGACGGTGCTTATCCTGAGCTGAGCCCCCCTGCAGTTTAACACAGACATCAGTTGATTACCTAGCTGTGTTTGATTTTTATATTCCTTAAATTTTACTATGCCAGGAGCGGGGCCAACAAAAGACAAAGTAGAGCAAAAATCCAATAATTGCCCCTGTCATTTCAACTGCAGGCTCCTTTTATGAGTAACTGCATGCCCAGTTTTGATCTGCAAGTAATGCCACAGAAATAAAACCAAAGTAACTCTGCTCCCTACCCATACAAGCCCTCCACCCCCTTGATAACATGCCGAATGAGTTCATTACTGGTCCTAATGGAGATCATTACCTCAGCCATTTTCTCTGAGGGCCTTGCCAATCAGCAGGTCAAAGAAAGATAGAGAAAGCTCTAACTGGCATATCCACCTTGCCCCATTTCAGTCCCTTTCTTCAGCAACTTCGTCTGCTCCAAAAGAAAGGGAAGAAAACGTAGACCTGCCATCTGAGGAAAGGTTTCCCAGGGCCTGCGATTTGCTGACATGCGGGGAGTTATGATGTTATGAGAACAGCCCTGTTGACAGCAATACTATCCCACACCGCTCCTAGCATGTCCAGAGCAATCTGAGGGATAATGATAAACTTCACAAGCGAGGGCAAAGGGCCCCGCCTGACACACGGAGCCGCCAGGCACATGAAAGAAACAATATAAACTTGATTTAAATGTGGGACTCTTTCCAGAAGGCTTAATTATCTATTGTATTACCACATTCCCATTATTCAGCAGCCTCTTGTGTCTCGACTGAAGCCCAACTATGGTATTTGTTTGGAACAAATTCAGGGAAAACTCCAAACTAACCAGATCATAGAGGACTGAGTCAAATAGGGAACAACAGTTATATAAATAGAAGTCCCCGAGGCTGGAAAATATTCTGGCTGGCTGTTAACTTTCAGGACTGTTGAGGATAGTCAGTCCAGTTCTTTACCATCCACCCCTACGGTATCCTAACGGTTTCTATGACATGGCACAGCTCCATCCGTTTTGTAAACGTGACGTGCCGCCTAACAAGTTATTTGATGACCAATAAAGATCACCTCTGGTTCTTAACTTCTGAACATGTATAAACCAGCTCTCTACACTCCAGCCTCAGGGCTTATTTGTTTTGGAAGATTAGAAGATAAATTATTCCTAAGGGTGTCATGGTGTATGAGACAAACATTTAACGCAACATCTTCAAGTCTCCAAATGAATGGCTGTGTGACCAAGAGGCCACTGTCAATTCATTTTTGTTTTAATTAGACAAATTTCTTGTTTGATGATCAAAAAGGTAAAACAACTAGTTGACAGAGTAGAATTCTCATTTTTGACCTGGCTGCCTGACGCCATGAATAGGCAGCTAATGATTCAAAGGCAGAATTGCCTAACAGGCCAGAACTGCACACACACACACACGGCTGAAAGGCCTTGGGTGGGTGAGCTGGCTCCGATAATACCACGTTTAGGCCCCTCACTGAGGGCTGCACGTTAGCGGTGTATTCTTTCATTTTAATGTGTAGAAAGAACATGGGAACTTCGTGCACATGGGAGACAAGTGCCCTGCCTGAGGGCATATCTATGAAGTGCTCCACAATTTACCACCATCATTGTCCTACTGCTTTACCTCCCACTTCATTGTCCTCTCCACTTGCCATGTCTGGGCCTCAGATTTTAAAGAGAACCACTGAAAAGGGCAAAATTATTTTTACCAGTGTGTTTGTTAAAGAGGAAAAGTGCTCCCTCTGTGACGGTTTCATGAGCATCATCTAAATTGGATTGTATCCCCCTGAGGGACAAATATTTGGTGATTAGGGGCAGCCTCTTTCCCTCCCGAGTCCGGCACTCCAGGTACAGCAGGCTCTCAGGAAATGCTTGGTCGTTAGACAACAGAGCTGCACAACATGCTAGGCTATAAGCCTCCTGTAGGCAAGCGCTGAGGCTTTCTCCATATGCTCGCATCACCTCGCCTTCAGTCACCAGGGCCTTGTATGTAGAAGCTTGATAAAAGCTTGTTGAGTAATGGAATTTTTATCTTGAGCCTAATTTTAAAACAACCAACCTCTTCTTTCTCTTCGACAGCAACAACCATGCAAACTAAGATCCTGAAGATTATCAAATGCATGAAAACCCCATTTTGTTGGAAAAAAGAATAGGATGAGGAATGAGGAATACAGGAGAAAAAAAAGAATAAACTTAATCTAAAAAAATAATTGAGGGGTAGGGCACAGACCAGTGCCAACAGGGTGCCATGAGCTAGAGTCCAGTCAACTCCATTCCAGACATCTGTGTTTCCAAACTATATGTGACACTTAACATTAAAATCCCTCATTGTAACATCAACACCTCTCTGAAAAACGCAGCTCACGCTCTTCTATAAAATATTCTTGGTTCTGGCCAACAGCTGGAGAGTTGATCCTTGCAATTTTCTCTCAGCAGAAATAGCTTTGTGAGGAAAAACGGACCCACTGGGTTAATAAGCCCAAACCTCGCCCGACCTGGGGGCTGAAATGTAAGGGACATTGTTGTGTTAAGTACTTTACGACAACTGTTTCTTCTCCTCTTGACACAGCCTGACTTCCTTAAAGAAGATTTGACTGGCCGGACAGCTGTGTTGACCCTTAAGCCTGCTTTGATTCGTGATTTTTTTTAACAAACAGAATAGAAATTCACAACCCAAATCCTTCCCTAAGCTCCAATACTTTTGAATTCGCTAGTGTTGTGCCTGAAGGATGTGGACACTTCAGTCATCTGTAAGCAGAAAGATGAAGATGGGGTCTGCACAACCCCCAAACCTTCAGCTGAAAAGCACAAGGGGAAAAAAGCAAGCAATTAAGCCGAAGCTTTACCCAAATATGATACGTGAAGTTGTGTGGGCAAAATCCGCTCAAGCACCTACAAATCCCACTTTTCAACCTAGACACTGTGGCAAGAAAAAGACAAGACCAGAAACAGGCATGATGGGACCCAGAACCAGCACTTTGGGGGTGGGGGCTGGGGGGTCATGCATTTTCATTATATGCATATAGTTCTGTATTGTCCAGCTCATCCAAAATCAAACATATATTTTATTTTTTAGTTCTGAAAAATGTAGAGTTATCTTTTCAAAACAAGCCCGTCAAAATGCCCAGTTCTCATCCCACCTGCTGGAAAAATTCAAGTACGTGATGGCAAAGGGGCACAGAGAAAGCACAAAAAATTTGTGTGTGTGTGTGTGTGTGTGAAAGAGAGACAGCTCTCGGGCTAATTACTTCCTCAGTTTTTAGTAAACCGCAGAGCCCAGGAGCAGGAGATATTTCTGTTCTTTCTCAGCGCTTTTTGTTATACTGAGACTTCTGTACAGCCCTAGTTCATTGTTTTTAATGACACGATTGGCACTAACCCTCCCTTGATTATCATCCTGTAGTGCTGTCTCTGTTCTCACCAGTAACAAATGCAGGATTCTGCACCAGCCCCCTCAGTGCTACAGGCCAGTCTTAGTGTACAAAACAGAGGCCCCCGTTTCTGCCACGTTTCCTTCCTCAACACCCTGCACAGCTCTTCCAAGTCAGTGTCCCCATTAACTAGCCACTTTGTCAAGGAAAAGCAGTTCCCTCTCCTTAGATCTACTGAGCAACTCCAGGCTGGCTGGTGAGAACCAGGAAATTCTAACTAGACTCCCTGGCCTCATCCAGCCTTTAGGCATTCCAGAATTCTAGACACCAAAAATCCACTTTCTTCAAAACCCACCTTATAATTCTCCTCAAAACGCACCAGAACGTTCGTGTCAGCTGTGGAACCGAACCTGCTGCCTGGCAGCATTGCGTACAGGAACCAGGGAGGGGCCGTGGGATGGAGGACCGGGCCTCACTCAGATCAGGCCCCCATTCGGGCCTAACAGCTCCTGTGCGCCCGAGGATTTTGGACAGAGTTTGGGGGTGGGGTGGAAGACAGCGACAGAAAACGCAAGCAGGGTGTGCGCGAGCTCAGAGGGGCAGCAGCACCATTTCTGAGCCCAATATGTCCGAGACCCCAGTGGACAAAGCCGAGCGGGAAACGTGCAGAGAGGACATGAGCCCCGCGATCAGGACAGCCCCGCGGTCGTACGTAACCGCCCGGGTGGCGGACACACGTGGGTAAGGAAGAGGCCCGGGCCGCTCGCAGTCCGTGAGGCACCCCAGCGAAGGGGGACGGGGAAAACCAGCTGGGTGGGAGCAGAGCCCCCGCGGAGGAGCAGGCGAGCCGAGCGCAGAGGGGAGCCACGGCTCGCATCGCTGCGGGGCCCCAGCCACGGTTGCGCACGGCGGGACAGACCTCTGCGGCCCCGGGGGCGAGCGGACCGGCTGGGGGTGAATGGACGAGATGCGTCTCTGGGCAGCGGGTGCCTCTCGCGCTTTGCAGAAGCGGACGGGGATAGGGGAGGACAGAGTCCGGGCGCGCGCTGATGCCTGGGCGCGGGGCGCGCTCCGGTGGGCGGACACTTACTTCTCATAGTCGTACTTGCAGTAGAGTTTCTTGTCCCGGTAAAAGCAGGTGGTCTCCAGGGGCTCTTTGCAGGAGACGCACTGCACGCACTGCTCGTGCCAGAAGCTGTCGTTGAGCCGCAGCAGAAACCTGTCCGAGATGACCCGTTGACAGCCCTCGCAGACAGACTTGGGGCTCACCGCTCTGCCTACAGCACCAACAGACGTTGGCGGGTGAGCCGCGCCGGCCCCGCATCCCGGCCAAAGCCGGCCGGGACCGCTCGCGAGCACTCCGCACCCACGGGTTTCCCCCCGCGCCCCGTCCCCCCACGCCATGGGAGGCCCCCTGCTCATCAACTGGGCTGAGATTTGGAGAGCAGAGAAAAATCAAACCAAGTGGCGCCTGTAATGAAGCAGGGACTATTTGGGACGTTTTAAATTCTACCTGGGGAGGGGAGGGAAATCAGTTAAGTGGCCTTTAATTTTCAAATCATCCAGATATGCCCGCAAACGTGCGTACATGCTGTAAAACTAGACCACAGATAAATTTGTGCTCCCAGAGACGTCACGTAATCGTTAAATGACTACGCTTGGTCCCTATTGACTGTTACTGCGTGTGTAAGAAGGATTTTTGTTGTTTGGTTTTGTCTTCTGCTGAACGCAACTCTCCTCTGTTTTTCGAGGGAAAGCTTTCTTTTCTTCCTAGAAAGTATCGTGCATACGGAAAAATAGAGTCTCGCCCCAGTCAAATTCGTTATTGTTCAAACCAATGAACTCCAAACTACGGCGTCGTGGCTGCCGTGCAAATTGCGGGTGGATTTTTCATAATTAAGAGGCATCAAAAAAAAGCTAAAAAATAAAGAAGCAGGGCGCGGAGACGCGGCGGAGCGCCCTGGCCAAGGACTCGGAGGATCAGGCGCGCTCAGCGGCAGCTTGCGAAGACGAAACCCATCCTAAACCAATTCTGTGCCAACAGGGAACCCTCTCTGCCCTACCTTTGCGACTTTTGTGTGTTTGGTTCCTTCCGTTTGCGGGATTAGGGTGCTTTTTATGGGGTCTGGGAGAACGCTTGTCCTTTGCCGGCACATTTCACAGCTATTTAGAGCAGGCCTTGTCCCCGTAACAATACCCTTGGGCTTGGTGTCCCCAAGGGCCTGACCCTTCCCCGTTTCTGCTACACTCCTATTGTTTTCCCGTTGGGGGACCTGGTCACCAGCTTGTGAATGGGGCCGGTGCCTTGGGGCACGGGCAGGAAGGGTTGGAAAAAGTAGCAGCAGAGTTCACAGTCTGAACAATTCTCTTTTCTCCGTGCCCTGCCCCGGCGCGCAGGGCCAACCGTGGACGCTGGGAGTCGACGCGGGCCTGCGAAGCGCACGGGGCGAGCCGCCACGCAGGGTAGCCGAAGTTTGCCAGCTCGCGGATGCCAGCTCGGCGCGCGCTCCTCCGAGGCTGAACGCGTCGGGAACTGGAGAGGGGCGAACGCAGGGAGCGTGATTCAGTCTCATCTGGAGAGCTGGGGAGGGGGTCCTCTTTGGATGCGGGTTCTCCGCGCGAACTGTCTCCCTGCCTTCACCCCGTTCCAGCGGTCCCGAGTGGGGGCAAGAGGCAAACGGTTTGGATGACAAAACGAAAATCCCTCCCGCTAAAATAAAACACCCGCTCCATAAACTTGAAAAGCACCAAAGGCGGGTAGGGAGGGTGGCGCGGGGGTGGGAATCCCTGGCCTCGTTTCTCTAGACCCTCGTGTGGACGCTCTTTCGAGGCCCTCGGCTCGCCGCTCCGACGCGGTCGCTGCAAAGGGAATGGCAGGCTGGAGACCCGCCGGACCCGAGATCGCTTCCAGTTAATTACAGCAGAGGGAAGGGCCCCGCCGCGCCGGCTGATCCCCGCGCTGCGCTGCCCACCGGGCTGGCAAAGCCTCTCGCCTGGGCCTGGAACTGGTGGGGCGAGAAGACGCCTCGAACTTGGGTGCTCTGAGCTTCGGGTTTCTCGGGTTTCACACTCTCGGCCCTGGTCCTCCGAGAAGAGGGCAGCATTTATGAGATGTCGATCAGCTCCGTGATTAAAAATCCAGCCCTGGGTATATTTAATCGCTTGCCACTCAGACGTCTGCGAGCAAGCTCGCCCGCCCCAGGCGGCTTTGGGGAACTCGGTGCCCAGAGATTGAGGCCTGGGGCGGTTTGTGGGTTTGGGGGTAGGAAGGAGCCCCCCCCCCGGGACCGGCAGACAGAGAGTGGGTTCACCTGAGTGCGTGAAGCGGGACGCTAACTCCCTGATTGCCGATGGGGTCCCAAAGAGCTGGGACCAGAGAGAAGGAGAGTGCACCCCAGGCGCCCGGCCCCAACACTCACCCAGCAGCGAGGAGAAGGAGGCCGAGGTCTCGATGGCGCTTTGGAAGTTCTCCTCCATCTTCAGGCCGTCCAGCATGTTGGGGCCGGGCCGGGGGGACCTGCAGAGAGGAAGGATGCTTCTGGCGTCTGTGCCTCTGGGACGCGGCGCCCGCAGCCTCCGCACTCCTGGGAAAGGACGGAGGGCGCGTCCGGGGTGTCAGAACGAGCCGAGGGGGTCGAGTCCAAGCGAGACGAGCGCGGGGTGGGAGGGGTGAGGCGGGTCCTGGCGAACCGCTCGGACTGATCTGATTCCACTCGAAGTCAACGCGTTATGTACTCAGGCCTCCGCCCCCCAACCGCGTTTCTCCTTCACCCGGCCCCCCACCCCTCCCGCCCGGCCCCCGGCCCCAGGTTTCCCACCCCGAGTGCGGCCCCGCCCCAACCGGCACTGGCGCGGGCCCCGGGGACGGCTCTGCGGGAACACAGCTCCGGGGGCGGGACGGGGAGACAGGCAGCGGCGCTCCCCCTGGCGCGGAGTGACCCGGTTCGCGGGGAGCAGCGGGAGCCACCCGGAGAGCGTCCCGCCCGCCCGCGGACTCGGGGCGCTGAGCCGCGCTGGGGGCGCGCGGGGCGGTCCTCCCGCCGCTCGGCCGGGGCCGGGAGCGTCTGCAGGAGCGGAGAGGTGGCCTCGGGGAGGGGCCGCGGCCGCCCCGCTCGCTCTTGGACGCATTTCAAATCCACTTTCAGGAACACGCCCGCCCTTACCTGATGGGAGCTCGCGCGCCGCGGCAGGAGCGGAGGGAAGCTGCGAGCGCCGCGGGAAGCTCCGGCCGGGGGAGGCGCAGGCCCTCGAGGCTGCGGCGCCGGCGCGTCCGGGAGGGAGTGCGAGCGAGCGCCGGCCCCGGGCTCCTCTCCTCCGCGCGCCTGGGCCGGGCCGGGACGTGGCCGCGGGCGGCCGGCCTCCTCGGGACGTCCCGGCCGCCCGCGTGCTGCTCCTGGGGAGCGGGGGGCCGATGCCGTCCCAGGGAGACGGGGAGGGCGGCGGCCCCGGTCCTGGGTGCGCGTCGGGCCTGCTCGGCCAGCGCGGCTCGGGCCGCTCCTGTCGGGGCCGGCGCGGCGCGCGGAGGGAAGGGGTGGGGAGCGCAGGGAGGGCCTGGGAGGCGCCGTGCAGCGGCCGCGAGCTGCCCGCCCGGCCCGCCGCGGCCCAACTCGCGGCCCCCGCCCCGGGCGCCCTCCGCCGCTGCGGCTCCCCGGCGCACGGGACCCTCCCTCCTCCGGTAATGCTGCCGCAGGGTGCGCGGGCTGTGGGGCCGCCGCCCTCGCCCCCCGAGGCCTTCGCCCGGATCGACCCGCCACGAGCGCTCAGGACCCTGGCCGCTCTCCCGCCGCCGCCAGTGGTGAAAGCCCCGCGGTCCCCACCCGGGCCGTCGGAAGCGCCGAGAAGCCCTTTGCCTGTTTGCTGTCGCGGCCCTCGCAGCTCTGAGCCCCTCTGCCGGCTTCTTCGTCACCCGGGGCTCCTGCAAAGTTCCCGACTTCCGTTGGGCTCGAAACCCGGTCACGGTTTCAGATGGAAACCCACCCACTGGTGGGGTGCGCGGGAAGCCAGAGGACCCCCGGCCAAAGCTTGAATCAGGCTCCTGGTGGAGACTAGATGGAATCTGATCTCGGGTCGAGCCCCCAGTGACCCTGAGCAGGAAGCCAGCTGAGGGGGCGTCCTTGGGGTGCCAAGTATGAGGGGGTGGGGTTCACTACACTCCCAGCCTCAGTTTACAGGGGTAGAACCTTAGCCCCATCCAGCACAGGATCAGGGCCGCAATCTCTGGGTAGCCCAGGAGGTAGCCTGCCCCCAGCCTCAGGTGGATAATCAGTAAGTAGATCCTAACGCTGGCTAACATTTATGCAGCACTTATTTTGTGCCAGGCTTGGCTACTTGGTTAACTCGCTTTAATCTTTACAATGATCCTACGAGGTGGAGACAATTACTATCTCAATATTACAGTGAGGAGACTGGGGCCCAGCGTGCACCTCAGTCCACAGGGAAGTTCAGTTCAGTTCAGCTCATGAAGGGAACTGAAATGGCATTGCCAGGCCCTCTGGCAAAGTGATCCTGAGCAGGCGAGATGCCACAGGGCAAGTGCCTTCTACTGCCTTCTCCAAAGACAGGAGCCCTCCCTTATTTTTTAAGAAAATGTGCTGGCAGCATTTGCCTCAGTGTGGCCCCACTCACCATTGTAAGTGCCTTCTGCCATCACGCACAAGCCAAACACTGAAAATGACTCCAGAAAAACAAGGAAAAAGGCAGAGAGTCTAATACTTCACATTTGAAGGCCGCTTGATAGTTTTCAGGTGCTTTCACATACGTGGCGTTGCTTGATCTTTACAACAAACCTGGGAGGTAGGCAGAACAAAATAGTTTTATCTATTGTTTCAGCTGAATCTTTGGGGCTCAGAAGGGCTGGGAAGAGTCCACTGATACCGCCTGGATGACTAGAGACGTGTCCTAGGCCATGAAAAAAAAGAAAATGAATTGCAAATACTCTTAGGGTGATACGTAAAATAGAAGTTAGGCGAGGGAGGAAAAATGGAGTAGGGCAGATATAAGGAATATTTTTCAATGCCCAGCAGAGTTTTGCTCTCACTGAAGGTCTTACATTCATGAAATATGTCTAACTAGTAGTAAGAATATCCCTTTTAAAGAATATCCTGAAAGTGTACAGATTCGCATCTGGTCTAGGACTCAACCTTTCAAACGGAAGGCAGCCTGGTTGCTGCAGGTTACACAGCGCTGGGTGGGAACGTCTTTCCCCAGCGGCCCTCGGGCACCTTCAGGTTGGAGACTGTCTCACAGTCACATTACAAGCCCTTGGGGTCCTTACTGCAGAGCCAGGCCCACATATGTAATTAACATAGGCCGTGACTTAACTGGCGGCTGGGTGGGGTGCCCACTGTGGTGAGAGAGCCCTCCAGTAAAGGTGGAAACACGCTGGGTCAGGAATCGAAGGCCCTCAGTTCCCTTCCCAGTTCTGCTACTGAGTCAGCTGGGCCACGTGCTCACCTCTCCAGGCGACCATACTTCCTCCCCGAGGCGAAGGTGCAAAATCTTAGGGTCTGTAAGGCGTCAGTCTGAATTCTGTGCCATCAGACTGACTGGGACAGCAGTGTTCCCCACTGCCACCCCAGTATCATTTCACTTTGGCCTTAGTCAACTGAGCGACATGGATGGGGGAACACGTATCTTTCCATCTGTGATACGTAAAATAGAACCCTGGTCACGCTACATGGGTTTTAATTTCAAACTCAAATGCTACTATTTCGCCCTCTTAATGAGAGCAGATGCCACAAAGCTACTGCCCAGCAGTCCTTTATTAAGAAAAAGCCATAGTCTCCCTTTTATCAGAAGTATATTTTTTTCTGAGAATTTATGGAAATGAGGTAAACAGCCTTTATAAGAGACCCCCAAATTGCAGGCCTTTAGAGGCGGAAGCACCTTAGAGCCCATCTGGTCCAACTCCTCAGTTTATATCAGCTCAACATCCATTTCCCTAGAACTGCCACGTCTGGTCCATTTGTTGGTTCAGGGTTGGCCGTTCAAAATGTCAGCTCCTACTTCCAAGATGTGGGCAGGGCTGTCCTCTCCATCCCGTTCCCTTCTCTCTGAACCTGCTCCAGTTTTTGTCTTGCAGTGTTAGGAACAAACCCCACCCCCACCCCGCCTTCTCCACATGGGCTGCTGGTAGGCCACATCTTCCCCAAATTGCAATTGTACAATTGGTGTTTGGCCCCAAGTGTGGAAACTTGCATTTATCCCTGTTAAGAGATAGGCAGCTGTTCCAAACATCAGGAATCTTGCAACTTCAAGGAAATGCCAAGACATCCGGGGACTCTGTCTAAAGCCTAGTACTTTGCTTTGAGGAGGAAATGTGGGGCCCTTTGCCAGGCCGGCCTGGAAGCTGCCATCACTGGGGGAAGACAGCGAGGGCCAGTGGGTAAGGAGTGACTGGGGGGACCTGGTGGCCTGTGGGTACATCTTTGAGGGAAAGACCCCCTGCCCTGCTCAGGTTCCCCAGTTCTCTCTCACCTCCCATCTTCAGTCAAGGACACACGGTGGAAGGCGGAGGTGAGATGCGCAGACCAGCCACGGGGCAACTCTTTCTATGGCAGAAAACTGAGAAGCCACACTGCCCAAGTCGTAACTCCTCGGGCCTGGGGCTCAGAGAGACCAGGACGGGAGGGTCAGAGACCCAGGCTCAGTGGGCGGGAGCCCGGCAGGGCGGGGAGACGTCCCGCGACAGAGTGGAGATGACAGGAACATGTTTTTTCACTTTCCTTTTCTTGCTCTCATTTCTGTGTTTTATTAAGGGAAACACAAAGGGAAAATTGTGTTATTTGTTAAAAAATGTCAAAGTATATTTCAAGAGAGAGGAAAAAAAACAGACACTCTACTGCCTGTACAGAGGAGGCGGGACTCTAACGGGGGGCGGCCGGAGACTAGTGTTGTAGGGGACACATTGGAACTACAAACCCCCCTGACCTCTGGATTCTTTTCCCAGGAAGCCCCCTGGCCCCTCATTGACATTCAGGTATGTCAAAGCAGCAGGAGGATTAGTGCCTCGGCACTTTCTGGGGCAAGAGGGGGCATCTGCAGTCAGCAGCTGGAGTACGAGGGAAGGCGGGCAGTGCACATGTGGGTGCACACTCAGCTCAATCAGACTCTCCTGCCAACCTGGCAAGGACAGCCCGAGTCCCAAAGGCCATGCATCCAGGCTCACAGGCACCCCCACTCTGTGGATCCTGCGGTAGCATCGCCACACCCACTTTATTTCCTGTTGGGCAGCTAGCTCCCTTAGAAAGGATCCATGTCGGATTTGTCTGCATTCCTCCTGCACCCAAAACAATGCTTTACATACCAACCAACATGTGTTACCTAAATAGAGGACGTTTGTTGACTAAATAGAGAATGCCCTAAAGTTTTCATCTACCCCATGGCATAACTGAGTGCACTGGAAAGAGCATATCTGGGCTTTGCAGACAGAGAGGCCTGAGTTCAAATCCGAGCTGTGCCATTTATAAACTGGTATCATCTTAAATCAATCACGCAACCTCTCCATGTTCCAGTTTCCTTATACAGAAGGGAAGGAACAATATTTTCCTCAAGAGTTAATAGAGGTGATGGATGAGAAACATCTTATAATTTGTTTGGTTAACTTGAAGTTCACATATCCTTTGTCTCCCTCAACCTCCCCACGAATGAATGGATACAGCCTCTGAAGGAAGTCGCCTCGGCTTCCCCCTGTTCTCATAGACAAACAGGAGCCACACCAGCATTCAGACAGTCCGTGTGTCCAAGGACAGCAGTTGTCACACTGGGCAGGTGAGGTGTCTCTGTGCCCTGGATAGACTGTGCTCTTATCTCCAATGAGGCTGGTGCTGCCGGATGGTGAGCGGACTGGGCCTGGGGTCACACAGACGGGAGAGATTGTTGACTCTGCCGCTTGCGATCGCCTTGGGCCAATTCCTTCCTCTCGCCAAACCTCACCATCCCGTTAGAAAACCAAGGGAATAATTGGGGTAGTTTTGTGAGTGTTACGTGAAATAATACATGCAGAAGCCCCGGCACAGAGACAGCCATGCAGTGAGAGTCCAGTGCCTTTTAGCTGCTGTCCTCACCCCCCTGTTTGTGGCAGCCGCCATCACCAGACACTGAGCACCTCTCAGGCTGTGCTTCATCTTCATCTGTGGCCCTGGCACCTGGCACCTGGCACCTGGCGGGCATCCAGAGAACGCGACTTGATAGAACAGAATTGAACTGAGTTGTCCTGAAGCCAGTCTCTTGCACTGAGTACCATTCAAGAGGCATCTGGCTTTTGAGTCCATCTGCAACTTGCAAGGGCAGTTTCTCCTGGGACGCCGGCACACGCTCCACAACAAGTCCCCAGACTGCAGGCTTCCTGCATGAGCATTTTGCTCCTGGACCCTGACATGCCCTCTCTTAGACATTAGTGGGGTCCTTCACACTAATACAGGACCCTGGAAATGATGGGGGACAGGGGGCACAAGGAGTGAACTCCCCAGACACCAAAACAGAGACCCAAGAAGGTCTGTTAACATCCTGGGCCTGAGTCATTGACTCACGTGCCTACCACAACTCAGTTGCCACGTGCTGAACGTGTAGGTGGAGTCAGTGGAGATGCCTGACACGGTGCTCAGCGGAACAGCCAGGGGCCTGGCTAAAGCCTCTTCAGCACTGGGGTGTCCAGTGCTGGTGGACAGCAGCTCTGAACAAGCCCCATAGGCAGGCAATGTCCAGTGCAGAGGCAGCTCTCTGCACAGCGGAGGCAGAGACCACCCAGCAGAGAACCCTGAGAACACCCCACACCCCTGAACCTACCACACACACACACACACACACACATACGCACACTCGTACACACACATGCACTCATGCTCTCATTTCCTCAGAAGTGACATACAAAAACTACCAACACTGAGATGAATTTTTTTTAATGTAAAATTATATACTGGGAGCAGAACAGCAAACCACCCACCAAAATAATAACCTGGGTCTCATATTTCAATTGTGAGAGAAGGTTAACTATCACTCGGTGTTTACAAGGTGAAACAGAGCAGGGGGGGGAAGCCCTACAAAGCTGCCAGGACCGCATCGTGCAGTGTGCCAGTTATACTTATGTGTCTAGGTGGCTTTAGGAAAGAGTCTATAAGAAAGGAACAAAAAGATATAACTGAGGACAATAGACATCAAACCTATGACTCATTAACAGTGTCAGAACATTGCTTCTTTTATATATTGACAGTCTCTCTTCTGGAAAGAATGTCCATTCACATAAAACTAAGGATACATACAACAAAGTAATAAAATGGGACTACAAAAGGTCAGGAATAGATAAAACAGAGAATGCAGCATGCTGAAAATGAAAGTTAATTGTTGCCTCTTGAGGACAGGAAGTACGTCTGTGTCTTGCTCACCACAGGTTGATCCAACATAGTTCTGAGGGTGTTCGTGGTACCCATTATGTGCTCATTAGGAGAGTCAAAATTGCCTTTGAGCTTCCTGGCAGCTAAAGCAAAAAGGGAAATGACTGCCCTACATATATTTCTGTAGCAGTCCTACAGCTGTAATTGTGAATTTGATTTAACAAATAGGAAAGTATATACCCTTAATCCTCATAGGTCTAGATTCCTGTGCCCAAGGGGGTAAATAGTGACCTTTCCACCCCAATCCTCAGCACAGTTTCTTAGCAATTGAGTATTTGCTGCGTGAATACCTTAATAAGATCATTAAAAAGATTCTTTGATGCCTCTGCAATACAATCACGTCCACCTTTCTCATCTGCAAACAATTTATCTACAACCCTTTGAATCTAAAGAATGGCGGGAAAAACGTGTCAGGAGGTTGAGGAAGTGAAGGCATCGCAGGCAGAAAGCACAAAGGACAAAGAGACCAGGGGAGTCAAGAGTCTGTGAACATAGGGCAGTGGGGCTAAGCCAGCAGATCTGAATCCTGGACCTTAGAGTTGATTCCTCTGCAGGCAGCAGAGAACCTTTGGAAGTTTTCGACTGGAGGAGTAAAATAATCAGGAGTATGGTCTAAGTGACTTCATCAGTAGCAGCGCAGACGATGATTCAAAAGATGGAGGGGGGAGCAGAACAGATAAACTGTATTACTCTAGTATAAGTAAGAAATCCAGGGCCGGACGGCGCAGGGACAGCAGAAATGAAATCGAAGGGGCTGAGCGTCAGAGACATCTCAGAAACCGGGTCAACAAAGGTCAGCATCTGTTCAGTCGTGAGCAGAGGAGAAGGGAAGGAGAAGAGGAACCAGAGACTGAGAGGAGGAATACGGAGCAGTAAGCGGGGGTCGCAGGAGGCAGAGCTCTGGGCTGCGGGCAGTGAGGAGTCTGGTGGCTTTTCAAAATGTTTTCACATTCATTATCTCATGGATTTCATACGCAAGTGGAGAAAGACCCACCCTGACAGTCAGCCTGGAAAAAGCTCTGCCCCTGTTTGGAGCTGCCAAGTGTCAATGAGCAAATGGCTTCAGATCCTTGCAGTGACAGCGGGGCGCCCGCCTGCAGGTGTCTCACCCACTCCGGCAGCCCCGAGTCCTCCAAAGGGCTAAGTCACCCTGTCCTGGCTCTGCGCCAGCAGCAGCTAAAAGCCAGGTAATGCAAACACTCAGCCAGCCATGCTCGCCAGGAACATGGACGGGTGGGCCCGGGAGCTCAGCCAGTGTGCAGAAAGGTGGGGCAGGCTGGGGCGGGAGGGGCCTGGCGTGGAAGTTTCGGCAGTGTCTCATCTCTCTTCCCACTGGGAGGCAGGCTTAGGTTTCTCCACTGACTCACTCCCAGGCACAGGCAAGGGGCTTCATCCCTGGCCGCATCTCCCCCCGACCCCCAGTCCAACAGGCAGAGTATTGCTCACCTCCCAAGACCCTGAGGGCGCCCGGGAAGGGGGTAGGGTGCTCCATGTGCACTTGGCTGAGCCCCAGTGGACGGGGGCGGTGGCTGCATAAAGGGAGGCACCGCTGCCTAGCTGTGCAGGGTCAGCCCTGGAAGGGACCCCTCCCACTGACGATGGAACCATCACTGGTTTTCAGACACACGTGTTGAGTCCTCTGGCAGATCCCCCTGTTCCAAGAAAAGACCAACTTTCTCCTCACAAACTGGCCCCTGCCGACTTCCCTGGCCTCACCTCCCCACCTCCACTCAACTCCGCGAACAAGCTCGCCTCCCACCAGTGACCCTGACGGTGCCCAAACACTTGGCCAGCGCAGCCTTGAGGTGGGGCGCAGCTGCGTCCTCAGCCTGGAGGCCCTGCCCTTCCTTCTCCGGCCTGTTGAATACCTGCCTCTTACGCGCTCAGACAGGTAATTAGCACTTCTGCTGGGCCCCTTCCAGGCTGTTGAGTATTCATCGCATGCTATCGCCAAGTTTTCTTTAGATGCCTGCCTCCTTCACTGGAAACACACACATCTGTGTCCTATGGATCTTTGTGTTCTCATAGGCTGGCAGAGTCGGGCCTGCTGACAGGTGGGGAGGGAAGAAGGGAAAAGGCAGGTGCTGATAGGTCCAGAGCCAGGGAGTGACAGGTGCAGTGAGGCCCACCCACAGCCCCTCACACAGTTCTCCCTGACATCCACCGTGTATCAGGTATTCGGGTCTTATGGATCCTTCCAGAATTTCTTTACACACATCAAAGAAAATACAATATAGATCCTTACCTCTCCCCTGTAAAACCCAAAAGCTGACACTGCTCTAAACTTTTTTTCCCCCACAAAAAACCCTTTTTCAATACTTCAAAGTTCCTCGTATTTATCCTGCCTCCATTCAATCTCCAACTTGTAGATTTAAGTATCCACGAGCAAAACACATCCAAGGTAAGTAACAGTACAGGCGCAGCTCTCTTTGGGAAAGGAGTCAGTTCCTGGGAGACTGGGAAACGCACATAAACCTCTCATAAGTTCGGAGCACTGAGGTGACATGTTGTCTAACGCTCTCCAGGAGTGACCCCCTCATCGATGAGGACACGGGATACGGCACTGCTCCCCAGTCTTTGCATTCGGTTCAGATTTGTGAGCACCATGATTTGTTAGACCCAGTGACCCACGTTTTGGTGACACTGAGGTGCTCTGTCTAGTTAGGAAAAGGGTAAAATTTAGAACCAGAGATTCTCCCACAGAACCCCCCCCCGAAACCTGTAAAGCAGGGGGGCCGAGATCTCTCAGGCTGGCCCGTGGCCTGCGAGATCCCAGGAACTGGTGCACAGATGCGTCCTGTGTAGCGCAGAAGCTGCTTAGATGATTGTAGCTCCCAGGGGTGCCCCCTCGGGACTCGAACCATGGCAGACGTAAATCAAGCGTCCAACAGCTCTAGCCATAGGCCCAACCAGCCCACTGCCTGTTCTTGTAAGGCCCGCAAGGCAAGAATGGTTTTTACATTCAAAAACCATTTTCTAAAACCAAAAGAATAGTATTTCGTGACATGTGAAGACTTCATGAAATTTAACTTTCAGTGTCCCTGCTAAAGCATCAGAACACAGTCTGCTCTTCCCTTGGGCTACTGTCTCTGGCTGCAGCAGCGCAGTTGAGTGACCGAGATGGAGAGAGTACTGCCCCAAACCCGAATTATTTACTATGTGGCCTTCCCAGAAAAAGCTTACCAATCCCTGTTTCAGAGGAGACTCCCAGACCCAAAGCAGACGCCTCGATGAGGTGGGCCAGTACGCATGACCCAGTGCTGGGAGATGCCTCGTCTGCATCAGAGGACTGAACTGACCTTTCCCAGCTGGTCACTGCTGGAGTTGAGGGTGGACAGGTGGAGCCGCCGCCAGCTGCCACTCACCCTACCCTCCTGCAGAGCCACAGGTCTCCGCGAGAGGGCGGCAGATCCCCCGTTTGCAAATCCTATTGCCCAGCTTTGCACAGCAGCCCCCAGAGACCTCAAAACCAGAACACAGAATTTTCTCTAGACTAATGGCCGAGAATGGGGCCACTGTACTGTGCGGGAAGCCATATCAGCCCCCTGGTCCCAGGCAGCCAGGCTGACCTGTTGGAGGCTGATCATCAAACCTATTAAAGTGTCCACAATAACAAAAAGGAGAGAAAAAACACTGATGGAGCCTCTCACTTCCTGCCCTCTCCTGACTTCCTTCTGGCCTTCCAGTCAGGCCACTGCACCAGTTTTCAAGCGGTTGCCTCACTTGGCCCACAACACTTCCATTTTTCCAGGCAATTCCATGTTAGGCTCAGCTAGGTCAGGATGGTGAAAAAAGAGATTTACCTCTTTCTAGAAGTTTGATTTTTTGGGTTCCTTACTTGTAGCTGTTGCTCAGAGGGTCACCCAGCCATGCTTCCTCACCCTGGTAGCAGTGCCCGCTTCCCGGTAGCAGCTGAGGCCAGTTAGCATCTTCCCACACTGCAGGGCCGGCTGCCTGGTGTCCATTTCAGAGACACACACACCAGCCGGCCACGCCTGGTCCCAGAGACCCAGGTCCTGCGTCCACCTGGCCTCTCCTCCCAGGTCCGTCCCACGAGCCCTGCGGTCATTGGGCCTCCTGCAGTTGCTACATTCAAGATGACCCCGTGTCCTCTTTCTGACTTTTCAGTGACTGATTAACTATGCTATGCCTAGTTAACTATTCTTCATATCAAATTCTCGCTTTCCAGTGACTTCTGTTTCCTGCCTGGACTCTCACTGACACCTAACTTTGCTCAGGGCCAAAACTAAGAAGAGAGTTTGCTGTGAATGGTGGATCACAGACCCTCCTAGAGCCCACCTGAGAAATTAGGTCTACAAACACCTGTGCGGGCACTGGGCTTGCAGCCGAAAAACAGCCGCCACTCATGGGCTCAGGTCTCATACCCCGGCTCCCTCTGCCCTGGTCCCCGGCCCCACCCAGCTCCATGACTGTGCCTGCTTGGGTGCTGGAGTGATGAACGCAGGCTGGCTGGACTTGGTCTCTCTTGCGAACTCTCCCCCAGCCCACCCAAACCCAACATCCAAAGGAACCCAGAAAAATAAAAGTACTCAGTGCCCCACAATGGCCTGCGAGACAGCCAAGCAAATGCTCACAGACCTGTGACCTTGGTCCTGGTCTGGCAGGGAGCCCTAGTGGGCAGGCCCCTTCCTTCCAGGCAGTACCATGTCCGAGAAAAGAGAAAGGGGCCACCAAGTCCAAGGAAGGGGGCTCGGAGCTCCACCTGCTCAAACTAACTGGAATGCCTGGGGGTCGCCGCTCAGGAAAGACGAACCGCAAAGGAGAAGGAGCTTTAAGGTCAGAAGCAGGCAGTGCCACTGATGGGATCGCAATGGAAATGATTTTCCAGTGGAAAATAAAAATAAAAATGCCTGGGGCCCGGTTTGGACCCGGGCAGGGGCAGAGTGGGCAGAGAAGGCCGACAGGGACGGAGGAGGGAGAGGCGGGGCTGCTGTGTGTGCCTGGACCAGGCTGGCCCCGGCACACCACCACCCTGGGCGCCGAAGCCCCGCCCCAGGGGCCACCGAGACCACACAGGTGCTGGCCGTGGCGGGGACACAGCCGCGTCACCGCCCCCACGGGCAAGCACAGTCTCAACCAAATCATTTCCCTGGGATTCCTTCTAATGAAGTCAGCCCCTCCTTTCCCGCAAGGCCTCCCACCCAGACCCGCAGCCCCGGGTCACTGCTGCGACCTTGCGCGCCCCCTGGTGGCACCTGGCTGCCAAGGCATGAGGCCCGCTTCCCAGACTCCACGCCCCCGTCAAGGCTTCAAAGGCCCCGCAGCCTTGACATTGAAAGCTGCTTTACCCACGTCTTTATGTTCTCTTTCCACATTCCTGTGGGGTTAAACAAATTCCAGCATCCGTGTCTCCCTCTTCTTTCTGAATTTTCCATCCAGGGCTTTCCCCACGTGGCCACTGCCCTGCTTGGCCCACCTCGGTGCCCTTCAGTTTGAAGGCTGCCTGCTTAACCCAGACGGCAGTGGCTCCTCAGACTAGAGGAGGAGCTGTGGGTCATTGGTGGAATTTATATCCGTGACTGTATCCTTGGAGGGGTGGGGGGATGGAAGGGTGGTTTCAGAGGCCTGGAGGAAGGGGCCAAGAAGGGCCTAGAGCACAGAAGCTCAGTCGGGCAATTCACAGCAGACCCACCCTTCCTGCTGACCTCAGGCCACCAGAGCCCAGGGCCTGAGAGACCAACTGGCCAGCCACTCACCTCCTCCTGGACGGGGGACCAGGGCTCTGAGGAGGTGTGCCTGAGTACAGACATCCCGCCCCAGCAGACAGGTGCAGGTGCCTGTCTCAAGACCTCACTTCATTCCCTAACAAACAGTCTTGCTTGAGTCTCCCTCCCGAGGAACTCTGTAGACACTTCCTCTGCCCTCCTTTCTCTCCACTCCAGCTGTCCAGGTGCAGGGCGCAGGCGTGTGAGGCCGCCAGGCCAAGGCGGGGTGCACAGCCAGGGCTGAAAGGGCAGCAGTTATTCCGGGTACTCCTCCGCCCCAGCTCTTGTCCCAGCGTCCACCACCAGGAGGTCTCTCGGGAACCACAGTGTAAGACACATGCCCTCGCTTGATCGCCCTACTGACAGGATGTCAAATATGAGGCTTCCACGTCGGCCTCCCCAACACACACACACACACCCCCATAAAGACCCAAGTAACCGCTCACAGCACTGAGCTGAGATGCCGTTCCCATGCTTGCTCTGCCGCGAGCTCCAGACAGCCACCCCGAGTCAGCCGGACTTGACAGACGGGATAAAACCTTCTCACCAATCCTGGCCTGTTTTAAAACATAAAGATAAACACAAATACGTGACTTATTGTCATCTGAAACATTGACTTTCCAAACCTGAGTTCCAAAGCTGCTTAACTATGGCCTTGTAAATACCTCAAGTCCCTCCCCCAACCTTTTTATGATTTGGGTGTCTTGGTTCCTTCAATATGTTCTTGAACATGATGGCACCTCAGGGCCTTTGAGCTTGCTTCCCCACTGCCTGTCCTGCTGCTCCTCTGGATACCCACATGCTTCATGCTTCACTCCTTTAGGTCTCTGCTCAATAACTGTTTTATCAGAGAAGGCATGCCTGGATGCCACCTCTAGATTAAGAGGCCCCCTCTACCCCCATCTTCATTCTGTATCTGCTTACCCAGTTTTTCTTTATAGCCTTTATCACCATTAGACTTACTATTTGGCTATTTCAAGGCTGATTTTCCGTTTCCTTTACATGAAGGTAAGGTCCATGAGATCAGGGGCTCTATACGTTGTTACTATTTCCACAGTGCCCATAGTACGCCATCAGTAAATATATGCTTAATGAATGAATAAGTGGGTCCATTAATAAACAAATGAAGAAGTTTGAAAGGGGGAACTTTTGCCACACTCTGGAAAGATACCACCTGCTCTACGCACACTGTGGCCTCCAACAGAGGCAAGACGCAGGAAGGGGGCAACGACTTCCAAATGAGTCCTTGCCACACATCATTACCGTTTACTCCGAACAAAATTCATAGTGATAATTTTATTGTAAATACAGACATTCCCACTCCCTTTAACTGATATAATCACCCAATATATGCATGCAAGATGGACAATATATGCATACATACAAAAAATATACCCTCAACGCAAACAGAATGCCTCACTCACTCAGACTCTTGGGAAATAAGGCATAAGCGAATGACTGGAAAGTCCAGACTATTACTGTTAATGAAATGCACTTTCATTATTTTCAAATCCAGGGGTACTTGGACACTTCATATCTCAATTCAGTTTAATTCAATCCAACTGCCAAGAAAAGCCACAAACCCAGAAGTAATCAAGGAGTCCTTCAGGCATCAGCAGGATTGAAAATATCCCCACATAGCCAAAAGCAGGAAATTTGCTGAGATTTCGTTATTTTGAACCAAAAGAGAGAGGGACTCTCATTGACTGTCAATGCCTATAAAAGTGAAATTCTGCAAACTTCCAAGTCAAGAAAAACAGAGGAACAGAAAAAGTAATAATGGTAATAATCATGACGCTATCAAACATTAACAATTAATATTTATTAAGCACTTACTACAGGACAGCCCTCCCCAATTACTTTCCATGGGTTACCTATGTAATCCACATAACAATCAAATCAAGTAGATACTTTCATGTCCCCATTTTACAGATGAGGATACTGAGGCACAGACCATACATATAATGAAGGAAAAAGAGAACTAGGAGCCAGTTTCACACAGTTATATACAGAAGCTGAAGGGACAGCGTAGCCCACTCAGGTGTCGTGTGTGACAAGCAGGCCTTCCCCACTCACACAGAGAAGCTGCAGCGCCCAGCCTGGACACGAAGCAGGACAAGGGAATCTTCTAGGTAGCCATGTCCTTTCCAGTTGCTTGTATGGAGCCGAGGGGACCCACAGGCTACAATGCCTGGGAAATGCCCTAAAGAGCCCCTGGGGGAAAAAAAAACCCTCAGCCCTTAATGTCTGGGCCACAGGATAATGAGTCCAGAACTCATTTTTCCTCCAGGTCTCATGCAGCAACCAGCAATCAGTGCCATTCACAGACTGGTCTCAGTTGTCCCTCTAGTTTATAGGGTGGCTCCAAAGTACCCCTTAAGCCAAGCCTACCCCCGACATGTGCCATACTTCACGTCCAGGGAGGACCCCAAACCTAAAATGCATCCATTGCTCTCGGAGGGCAGGACAGGAGCAAACTCTGTGAGCAGTGAGCCCAGGTCACCCGGCCTCTCTGTCCCATGGGGCGTTGGGGGGCATCCCCTGTCCAGTCACACGCCAGGACTTGGGACTTGTCCTCCCATCATCTCAGCCGCAGTGGAGCTAAATCTAGTTGTGGGTGTTCACAGCTTGTCTGCCTCACGCTGTCCACGTGCACTGATGCTCCCAGTTTGTATTGCCTTTACCAGCCCTGCTCCCCTTAAGGAATGGGACTGGGCATCACGGTCCCTTCCAGTGGAACATGGCCGTTGCCCTCGCCCCTGCCTGACCTCTCCAGGTGGCCTAGCAGAACTGGAGAACCTAGTTCACTCCCCAGAGAGTGCAGACTCTGCTGAGGACCCTAAATTGTTCCAACCTCCAAAAGGCAGAGCCCAGGAAGCCTGTTCTCAGGCCTTAGCGTCCTGTCCGGGAGGTTTTGCATCATTCCGAGGCTTTTGCGTGTGATGTTGGTCAGCAAAGGGTAACAGTGGTTAAACTTTGAGTGCTACAGCCCAGGACAGATTCATTCCCTCCCATTTAGTCTCCCTGAGCTGGTTCACATACATGCATTATCTTCAGGAAGAAAAACATCTTTACTTGATAAAAAGAAATATAAAGGGTTTAGAGTTGATAGGAACTGATTCCCTATGTGTGTTGAAGTTTTTAAAAATTGTTAATGCTTTATTCCAAGTTTGTGATATCTACGAGTTGCTATTTATATTTAACAAATTGGCCCACTTACTGGGAACATCCATGACTCAGGCTGTCGTAAGACTTGCACCCCTCCATCCACCTGACAGGGAGGGGCCGGAGCATCTCTCCTCTTCCCAGCAGCTGCCAGTCCCCAGCAGGGCAGAGCACACAGGCCTCAGGCTTGGCATGCTCTCTTGGTAAATCTCCTGGTGGGAAATTTTACAAGCTCCTATTTTCCTTCCACCCTGAGAAATGCACAAAGGCCAGACACAGTAGTTTCAGCTTTGCAGGTGAGAAAGCCCAGCTACTGGAAGTGAGGTCCCTTGGATTTCCCAGCTACACAGAGGATGGATGGTAGGTTGTGCAGTGCTTGCAGACAGATCCCCTGGGCCCTGATCATCCCATAGACTTCCTGAACTCCCTTGACGGTCATCAGCAGTGACCTCTATCAGCCCAACAGGACAGGACTAAAAACATATTTCATGAATTCTCACAAGTTTATCACCTTCCAAAATGAAGTCACCCCAGCTGACCCCCAGACAGACCTGGCTTGTTCCCACCAGAGTCAGTCACACGAGCAGATCCCACCCTTATCCTCACCTGACGCTGCTGCAATGGAGCAGCCACCCTGTGCGTGGAGAGGAGAGAGGCCATTTAGGTGCAAACGCTTCCCTTCCCACCCACCTGCACGGCGCCCCCACCCCCCTGTAATCCTGGCCACATTCACCTGTCCTCAGTAATCAAATGGTGGGGGCACGTCCCATGGCTCCCGAAGGTGCTGCCCATGGGCCACCTCAGGCCAACCCCTGCCCTCCAGCAGCCCCCAGCTGACTGGGGACGACAGCCAGGGAAAGCAGAGGCCTCAGGACAGGGCAGTGGGTGCCTTCAGGTGGACACAGGCGTGGAGGGAGCACAGGGCGATGGCGCTAAGACCTAGCCAGGTGCAGTTTCCAGTCATCACAAGGTGGCAATGGACCGACGCCCTCTAAGAAAGTGCTGCGGAGTCCACGAAAAGTGGCTCTGCCCTCTAGCACTTTGCTCAGATCCCCTTCCTTCGTATTATATCTGCAGTCTTTCAACTGTCCTATATGTCTATTGAGTTAAATTTTAAAAGCCTGTCAGGCAAGTATTTCTAATTTTGTGGGGTTTTATGGTGTGTTTTTAATTGTATGTTGTTGCTTTTTAAAACATGAAATGTTTTCTTTTTGTTGCCCCATAAAACTGCACAAATGATCCTTGGAAAGCACCGTCCTGAAACATCCTGAGACATGGGAGCATACAAACCCTTGTCGGGACAAGCCGCGGCAGGATCACCAAGAGGACAGAAGAAACTGGCCACTTACGTCTCTCCTATTATCTTTAAAGGTAGGGTTTAAGCCTGCTCATGCTAATTAAGAATACTAAATACTAGTACTTGTTTAACCCAGGCCACAGCACTCATTGGGCTTGCGAGTCTTCCTGCATTTGCGCCGACCCCACCCCACTAAGTCGGGCGGGTTCCATCAGACAAGGGTACCAGGTGGGGAAACTGAGGCAGGGGTGGGCTGTGGATGTGCCGTGGCAGGCTGAGCCCCATGCGGCCCCTGTGCGTCCCCCTCCCACCCCCCACCTCCCAGACAAGCCCAGGAGCTTCTCCTGCCAAACCGCAGGGAGGGACCAGCCAGGGCGAGGGTGGGGGTGCTGGGAACTGCTGGCCGTTGCTTTTTCTGAATTAAAAGAAAACAGGAGAACAGAGCGAGGGAGGAGGCAAAGTTCACGGAGGAATCTGGCGAGTCACCCTGGGCAGACGCCTGGGCCGCGGCCAGGGCTCTCTCCTGGAAGGGGCGAGGCCGCCGGGTGGGTGATGAGCGCCGGGTGAGTGTGCACGCGGATGACGGATGGCCGGCCTGGAACCCGGCCACACCGCAGATGTGCTCCCCGGTACGCCGGGCAGCCGAGGGCCCGGGAGGGCGGGGGCCGCGCTGGGCTGACGGCAGCTCCGCTGGCTGCGGCCCGCCGGGACCCCTGCGCCCCCTGCGCCGGGCCGGCCCCTCCCCGGAGGCCCGGAGCGCGCGGCGCCTCCCGCGGCCCGCAGCCCCTTCCCTCTGCGGCCCCCCTGCCCCAGCCATCGACCCGCGCAGCTGCCAGAACCGCGTTTCCGCCCCCTGGTTTTGATCGTGCAACATCCCCGCTTGGAAGACCGGAGTGCATCCCAGCGGCCTTGTACGTCAAATCTCAGTTTCCAACCCTGCGCATCACCGCCCTCCCCCACGGCCCCCCATCTCGCCTTCCCCACTCCAGCAGCCTTCTCCCCAACCGTCACAAGGCAAAGCTTCTGCTCACATCCTGCAAAGGTTAACAGCCACTCCCTCCCCTGCTTCACCACTTAGTCATTCGGCAAGTATTTCTTGAGCATCTACACAGTGCCAGGAACGGAACTACGGGCTGCGGACACAATGCGCAACAAGAAGGAAACCCTCCACCCTCGCAGCATGGACAGTCAAGTGAGGAAAATGCCTGAACAAAAGGTGAAACTTCCTTGCTCCCAAGTGCCCTTGAAACAGCATGGTTCATATTTAAACCTGAGCACAGCCAGGCAAAACGAACCAATAAACAGACCACGCACATGTGGGACCAAAGCGAAAAGCACCTCAGCACGGCTGTCCCTGGACAGCTGAGTGTCTAGATAGAGGCAACCCCTTCCTTCCTCCTACCTTTAGGTAGCTTCCAAAATTTCAGTCCTCATCAAGTATTAATTTTATAATAAAAAGCAAACTGTTTTGTGATATGTCTTACCTTTGTCTGATTTTAAAAGCCATGCTTTAAAAAATTTTAAGACTCCAGAAAACATAAATAAGGAAATCTTCCACAACTCTAATCAGAATACAAAACAAAACCTATATCAACATTCATTTTATTAGCACCTACCCCTCCAAAGGTGGAGATCTGGCAGTTCGCCAGCCCTCTTTCATTCCCACCAGGGTTACTGGTCCCTCCCCTAAACTGTCCCACTCCTGGGTGGAGTGTTCCTAGATGGCCCTCTACGGCTTACCCGGGGAACCTCTCTCTGAGACCCTGTCTCCCGAACGCTGCCAGGGCTTCTTCACTTCCGGCTGCTTCCGACTTCTGCAGCCGCCCCCATATGCTCCCACCACCTCCTCCATCAGACTGTAAATTTCCGAAGGCGAACACCAAAGCCAAGCCATGAAAATTAAATCGCCTTTAGTTCTTTAATAAACCATTTGCTATTTTGGAAGACAGTGAATTGTCTATGGTCAGAAGTATTCAGGAAGGTCTGAGACGTGAAAATACCGCACTTAAAGATGCCACTTTACAGGTGACAAAATCGGGGCCCCAGCAGGAGCTGTGCCCTTCCAAAGGTCACACAGAAGTAATAGGGCCCTCTCTGTTCTATTCCCCGTCACCCTGCATTCCTCCGGCCCTTGGGCCACCTCCCACCAGCTTGCATGTTTTATTGTTCACGCTCTCTCAATTTGAAAAATCTTGCCCTTGACTCTTGCTTTCATGCAGCCTGCTGCCCTGCTATCTGTCCAGATCGGTTCTGCGTTTGGACACCGCACTCCCACCCACCACCCTTCCTTGAACCGGAGGAGATAACAGAATCTGTGCCCACCCCGACATTCCTGCACATCCCAGACATGAAAGCAGTTGTGAAACATGCAGAATCCTCCTCGATTTATTTCTTTTTACCTTGCATCCCTTCCACTTTGATGTCAGGAGAATATTTGAAAGAAAGAATTTAACTTGACCTACTACCCTGGAACGCCAAGAAAAACAATTCCCAGGGCACTGGAGTGCCGTGAGCAGAGGATGGGGATGGGCTGGGCAAGAATGGGTTTGTTTTCTGAACTCCTGTCCTGCCTCAGGGCTGATCAGCAGGACCTTTTGCTGGAAGCTTCCGGAGCTCCCCACTCATCGAGTCCCAGGATCCTGTAATACATTCCAAAGAGGGAGAGGCTCCTGTCCTCCCTCTGATCTCTTGGGCTCTTTCCAGGGCTGTTTAAGAGCTCTAGAAACTTCCCAGAAATGAAGTAGATTCAAAAACACTGAGACTTGCGTGGATGGCGGGGGCAAGGGGCGGGGGGAGCAGGGTGGGAAGGAGCAGAAGGAGGATCTGACATCTCCCCAGGCCTGCTCCCAAGTGATGCTAAGCCCCCTCAGGGAGATGCTGCAGGTCATCACAGAGCTCTGAGCTGTCCTGCCCAGAGCTCCCAAGCCTGCGAAGACCAGCATCTCCCAGCTCCAGAGATCGTGGCAACCGTGCGCCTCCGTACGGCGGAGTGGTGTCGCAGATGAGGTAAGTCGGCGTGGGCTTCGGGAGGGGCTATATTTTGGTGCATCAGACCGTGACCCTTAACCATGGACAAGAAGACCCATCTTGATGTGGCCCTTCATCCCCTGCCCTTCCTCCTCTTGAACACCAGGTCACCATGTCCCTGTCACAAGTTTGCTGCTCCTCAACCAGCCAAGCCACTTCCTGCCTCAGGGCCTTTGCCCCTGCTCCTACCCCATCGGTATGGCATGCTGAGCTGAGCACCCCGAGTACGTAGCAACTGCCTAAAACCTGATGGCCTGTACCTGCCGTGCCTGTGGGCACTGCTGCACACACACACACACACACACACACACACACACGCATCCTCTGCATGGAATACTCTGCCGTGTCTCAGCATTACTGGTACCTTCTCTGCATTCACCCCTCTGGCCCTTCGTCACCTCTTCAGGAAAGTCTCCCCCGCCTCCGACCGACTCTGTGTGAAATAGCAGCCCGCCTCCCACACATGTCATCCTCTCTTTACGTTGCATTATTTTCCTCCTCACAAACTCCACCTAAAACAAGATTCTTTACCTATGGTTTCCTTGTTTTCCTGTTCCTTCCCCAGAATGTAAACTCCATGAGAGCAGAGGATCGCCTCTCTCACTGCCAAATCCTGAAACCCAGAACAAAAGCTGACTCAGAGCAGGACCGAGTATAATGAGCATCTGTGATGGGTCCCAAAGAGCACCTCCAGGTTTCTCCTTGATGCCTGGGGAAGAACTTTATGTAAGCTGAGAAAGGCTGGGGAGCTAAATCTCTCCCCTCTTCCCCCTCAGCTCTTTGCCTTTATTTTAATGAATCAGTAGACCTGCTGCCTGAGTTGCTTCTGCATAAGGGGGACACCCCAAAGCCCAGGGTTCAGGGCTCCCCCAGTGAGAACAGTATAGATTCTTCTGGGGGAGGGTGGCCGAAAGAGGAAGTCTTGGCAAATGACTGCTCAGGGGCCCATGGTGTAAACTTACACCCCAAGTCAAGAGCCTGCCTTGAACAATGATATATCTTTTGTAAGTCAGACCTCAAATTCCATTGTTTACAGAGGAGGTACTATTGCTGACAAGCATAAGCCATTTAGAAATATGACAGGAGTTAGGACCCTGGAAGAAGGGACAATCCTTGAACTGGAAGGCCTGCCGGTGGAATTTCATTCCATTTGCTCAGACGTTTCTGTAACCCATGGGAAATGTTTCTTTTCAGTATCTGACTAGAGGAGAGGAAGTGGCTCAGAAGAAAGAAGAGTCAGAGCAACAGGCGACTCCCCGGGCAGCCGCGGGACACGGGAGTGAGCCCCGGCCCCGAGCCCGGCCCCAGCAGGGAGTGCGGAGGCTCTCGGCCCAGGGTGCTGACGGCTCCTTCTGCCCCGGGGTTAATGGATCCTTACACACCGCGGTGGACCTTACCAGTGCTCACCACCGGTCCTGAGTCGAGTTCACATCCCTCAAAGCTAGATGTGTTCCTGCAACTTGCCTTGGCCACTGAGCTGTGAATGGAGTGATGTGCACCCCCTCGGGGAGAGCGCTTTGCAGCCGCCCTGTGACTCGCCGTGTTTTCTTTCCCCACCCCTGAGATCCCTGAACCTGATGTTGAGGGGGTGGCCCTGAAGACTCTGCCACCGTGGGTCCCAGAGGGCCTGTGACCTGCAGAGCCCCCCGCCCTCCCCGGAGCCTGCAGTGTGTGGGAGAAGGAAGGCTGTGCTCTGCGCACTGAGATTCTGAAGTTTGTCACAGAGGCAAACCTGCCTGTCCTGATGGCATCACACACCTAAAGGACAGGCGCCGACACACGCACTGATGCCGTGGCCACCACAGCCCGTGAGCCTCATTTATGCTGTGGGAACTGAAGCCCGGAAAGGCCAGGCTTCAGAGCTCAGATTCAAAAGCTGATTCCAAAACGGATTCGCCTGCTTCCAGAGTGGATTCCCTCTCCACTGTGTTTGATGCCTCCTGTGCTGGGAGATGCTCAGCTTCTATGGTTCTCCAGACCCCACGGGGCTCAGAGCCCTTGTTCTGGGACCATGGCCTACAGTTTAATTGGTTGTGGTCTGTGGCCTCATGGGCGTTATGATATAATGAGGGAATCAGAGAGACAAGTAAACATATTTTCACTCTAAAAAGTAGATTAAGGAGCAGGCATAGCGTGAACACGTGGCAGAGCAGTGCAGTGTGGCTGAGTGGGACCAGGGAGGCCGGGGGTGCCGCAGGGGTGTGCGGGCCTCGCAGCCTCGCTGCCACGGGGTGATGTCAGATTGCACAGGGCGCTAAAGACTTGGTCCCAGGCCTGGCTCGCAGCCTTGGTGAGTCACCTTTCTGGGCCGACCGCCCAGATGTGGAATAAGCATCTTGGATTTCAACCCTGCTTGCACACGAGCATCTCTCCTGGGAGCTTTAAAAAGACAAATATCCAGCCACCCTCAAAGATAATGATTCAGGGAACCAGGGCCTGCAACACAGGCCTCCAAAGACCTCCAAGACTTTTAAAAGGAAGGTGATGATGCACGGACAGCCCTGGATTTCAGCGCCCTCCCAGCTCTGCTGGGGTCTGTTTTGGTCCAGGGTGTTTAGCCATTTCCAGGGTCCACCACAGAGCTCTGGCACGAGGTGTCTCAGGCCTCTGCTGAATTCTAGCAGCCGTTCAGAGTCAGAGGCTCCGGATGGGCCATGGGATTCCGAGGGCCCCCAAACCCACTTCTCAATCGACGCCATGGGGTATAAGGCCTCCCTCTCTGGGTCCAAAGAGTAGTGAGGTGGGGAAGGTTTGTGAGCAGAAGCCTTCCTGGAGACATTGCCTAAACTTACACAGAGGCAGGGCGTCTAGGTCACAGAGGCTTCAGGGTGCAGAGGACCCCCGTGCTCCTGCCCCGGCCTTGCTCCCACTCACATCCATCCTCCAGGCAGCTCTCTCCTGGCCTCTGCAGCACTAGCCCGTCCACCTCTCGCTCGGGCTCTGCTCCAGGACCTCCGGCCTTTGCACTGTCCTCCTGGCACTGTGGTGTTAGCTGTGGGCTTGCTTGGAGAAACCGCAGCAATGGCAGAGAGGCAGCAAGGAAGACCTCCCGCTTCCCCAGCCTCCTGGCAGAGTTCCTGGTGGCCTCCAGGCTGGTGCCACAGCCGGGCTTCAGGAACTTGCTGTCCCCAGTGCCAGACTCCACAGCAGAGGGCAGGGCACATGGCTGCTTTCGTGTATGAGCCCCTTCCACTCCTAGGAGCCTAGTGGAGTCAGGCTGCCGATTAGCCATCCAGGGAAGGCGGCCAGAGGCTAACACGTGCCTGGTCATCAGCACAGGCAGCTGCTCAGTGTGGTGGAGGGGAGGCCTCACTCACCCGGCTCCCACGCCCCTCTCCGTGGATCCAGAGCCATGTGGGGAACACCCAGGGAGGTGCGGGGTGTGGCCCCTCTTGCCTGAAGGTGCTTGGGGCCTCCATTGGCTGCCTCTGCCCCCTTGTGAGCGTAGCAGCCTCATGCGGCCCCCAGTGGCTGTACGGGCACAAGGCTGGGGAAGTTCAGGGTCCGCCCGCAGTCCTGGTGCACAAGCCGTGCCTGTGCCTTGGCCACTGCCCCTGTGGTGCATCTGAGAAGCACAGAGGGAGCCCACGGCCCAGATAACTCACTCATCTTCCCGCCACAGTGCCCACCACACTCTGCCTTCATCCTCCCATTTCGTGTCTACACCTTGCCAACTTCCCAAAAGGACTTGAACACAACAAATGACAGTGTGTCCCACGAAGCTATCAAAAGAAAAGGCCAAGGAGCAGGTACTGAGAAAGGCTCCATGAATGAAGGTAAAGAACAAAAAGAATGATTGCATCAGAAAACCAAGTGCCAGGTGTTTCTGCAACCTGGCACAGACCTTCGCCCCGAGCATCCCGACAGCCAACATAAAAACAGGAACTGGGTTATATTACCGCGCCCTTAGTTGTCTGTAAGAGAAAGTATATCAGATGGTGTAGAAAGGCAAACATTTCCTGGCTCTGTAGGGGTGAGAATACTGTATGTTAAAGATCTTTGTATAAATATCACTGAACGATAAAATAGACAAGATCTCCAAAACTAGTTTCACCAAACGACCCTGTCTAGAAAGAATAGTGATAAATTATCATTTTGTGGTGAAAGCACTGTGGGAAGCTAGAGTAATATATTTTAAGGATTATAGTTCGTGGTGATTGGGCTGGATATTTATTATTATGGATAAATATTTATGGCTTCTTTGGGGACTGGAGTGGCTTCTACGGGGTCCAGCCAAGGACTGTGATCTGGGTTTCAGATTGCACAAGGCCCCAGAAACACACCCACAGTCTCCGTGTTCACCCGGGATGACTGCCCTCGCCTGCCAATTCGGCCTCTAACTCTTTTGTCCGTCTCCCCTTTTCCCTGCCAGTATCCGACTTCGGACCCTTGCCTCCTCCAATAGGATCTCGAGCGGTTCTCCCACTCCTGGCCTCTCCTCCCCTGACGAATCCTACGCGGTTCCGCCTAGATGATGGTCCCCAAGTCACAGCTCTCCGCCTGCCAACCCTACACTAAGGCACAAAACAAAATCCCCAAGTGTTCCTGTTGCAGACTGGACTGTCCGGAAACAGACTTAAATGGGAGAACTGCACACAGGTGTCCTGGGGAGGATCTGGGGAGATAGGCCAGGAAGGCAGGATAGGCCAGCGGGAGAAGCTGGCCCACCCGCCTCGGAAACCGAGGCCTCGCTGGTCATTCCGGAGCACTGGAGCAGGGAGGGCTCTGCGGAGCAGTCCCGAACTGAGGCTGGGTCCAGACGGCAGCCAGTCATTGGTGGCCGTCTGCCCTCTGGAAGGGGGCATAGCCTTGGGCAAGGCAGCTCCCTAGGGCCCAAGGTGATGCCCAGTGAGGGAGCAGCAGCCGGTCTGCCCTGCAGCCCGGCGGGTGGCCGTGTGGACCTGCCAACAGCTCCAGGCAGGAGCCCAGCCTCTGCACAGTTCCCTCCCTCATCTGGACGCTCGTGCCTGCACCAACTCAGTCATAAAGCCCACCCTTCCCTTTTTTTCTTTTTCTTCTTGCAGTAAAATATGTATACATAAAATTTGCCACTGTAACCTTCTTTAAGTAACTTCATTTTTTAGAGCAGTTTTGGGTTCACAGCAAAAGTGAGAGGGGTTACAGAGATTCCCCATACACCTCCCACGTGCCCCCACACACACACACAGCCTTCCCCATCACCTGCAACCCCCCAGATGGTGCATTTATTCCAATGCATGAGCGCACACTGACCTCATTACGGGTCCATTACATGTCCCAGAGTCCAGAGTGTACATCAGGGTTCAATCCTGGTGCTATGCATTCCATGGGTTTAGGCAAATGTGGAATGGTATGATATTGTAGCCATTTTTAAGTGTGCAATCCAGTCTCAATAAGTATATTCATAATGTTGTGCAACCACAAACGTTTTCATCATCCCCAACAGAAACTCTGCAACCCTTAGGCAGTAACTCCCCATGCCTATGAAGTCTCTAACCTACTCTCAGTCTCCATGAATTTGCTGAGAGATCTGAATCCTAGAGGTTTCATATATATGTGGAATCACCCAGTATTTTCCCTTTTGTGTCTGGCTCCTTGCACTCAGCGTATTTTCAGCATTCATCCTTGCTCTAGGCTGTGTCTGAGCTTCATTCCTTTTTACAGCTGAATGGTTTTCCATTGTACGGATATACCATCTCTTGTGTAGCCATTCTTTTGTTACTGGACACATGTGTTGTTTCTACCTTTTGGCTGTTGTGAATAATGCTGCAGTGAAATTAGCACACAAGTATCTGTGTGCGTTGCTGTTTTCAGTCCTTTGAGTGTGTGTACTAAGTGCTGAAATTGCCCACTCCTCCCTTTTACACACCTAGGTTTGCCATGGAACAAACTGCCTACCAATTCCTTGAGCCTCATCATGATTTCCTGCTCCAGGACTCAGTATATATGGATCTCTCCACCTCCAACACCTTCCTGCTCCTCTCCACATCTCAAAGCCCACCTACGACAGGAAGAAAAAAGACCCCCGCCAAAATACTCACTTCCTAATGCCCAGAAGCTGTGAATATTACCTTAAATGGCAAAAGGAGAGACTAAGAATCTTGAGAAAAGCAGGTTATTATCTGGGTTATCTGGCTGGGCCGTGAATGTGGTTGCATGTATCATTGCATGCATCCTTCTAAGAGACAGGCAGAGGCTAGATTGACAGACAAAGGCGAAGGCATGTGAAGACAAGGCAGACACTAGAGTGATGGCAGCCACAAATCGAGAAACTCCAAGGCAGCCGCGAGGAGCTAGGAGAGGCAGGGAGTGGGCACACCCCCAACAGCATTTGTAAGAAACACAGTCTTACCTCTACCTTGACAGGACTTCCAGCATCCAGAACAGTGGGAAATTAAATTTCTGTTGTTTTAAGCCCCAAGGTTATGGTGTTTTGTAAAGGCAGCCCCAGGGTACTATTACATCATCTCCTGAAGTCCTTCTCAGACCTCACCTCCTCCAGGAAGCCTGCTCTGATTACCCATAATGGAACGCGTGGCTCCCTTTACTGAGCCCCTTCACTCTTTGCTCATACTTGTTTTATGAGGCTTTCCATAGCCTGGTTTGTAACATGGTTATAAGTGTGGATGTCTGGATTTTAAAATCTCTAAGAGCAGGTGCCAAGCCTTATACACCAAAGTATTTAATTTAAATTCACACATTAAGTACTTAGCATGAGCCAGGCTCTGTTCCAGAGACGTAAGCCCTCCATTTGGAGCACATTTTTTCCAGTTTCTTATTTCATCAATAATTCGCTCATTTAATCAATAAACGTGTATTGAATTCTTACTCTGTGCTAGATACTGTTGTACATTCTGTGGATGCAATGGTAAACAAAATAGACACCCCCTAGTCCTTGAGGTTCCCCCAGATAGTCCTTCCCCTCATGGTGGAGGCAGAGAATAAACAGATACACATGTATCCATATGTATTTAATGACAAACAATGGGAAATATTTTGAAAATTTCAGAAGTGGTATCTGAATGCACGCTCACTGTGAAAAGAAACAGAGGTGCATAAAGAGGAAAAGACCCATTCCCACCGCCCTGGTCCATCCTGCTCTGGAAGCAACCATCTGTAACAAAGCGCAGCCCCCCAATCTTTTTTCTTTGCATTTATTTACCATATTTGCCCTTATACAGTGTTTTTGGCATGAACTGAATAGGACTGTGAATATCGCCCTGTTACCTGGCATGCATTTCTCACAGAGTAAATACCTGTTCTACATACAGTAGATGTTTGGTGAGCACTGAATGCCTTAACTCCTGAAAAGGGCCCACCTGACAGCACCAGGGCCAGGCCCAAGGTCAGCACCTGGCCCTCTGGCCCCTCTGCACTTAGGCGAGCCCCTCAGGTACATAGAAGAGGTGTGTGCCAGGTGTGTTCCGTTCGTCAGCCTCCCGGGACAGGTTTGGGCAGCCGCTCCCCGGAGCTCCCGGTCCCAGCCCCTCATGGCACACTACTCCCTGAAGAGGCGCCTCCATGTTTATGTTCTGTATGGAAGATCTGGGATGGCTCCAGGCCAGAGCCCTCAGCCCTGGTCTGAGAGGTGCCATTTACTCCCTCAACAGACAGTTACAGAGCCGGTTATGTGCCAGCGAGGGCCCAGCCACAGCCACAGCTGCTTGCGGAACCGTCCCAAGACCGGAGCAGAGAGGTCTAGGAAGGTCCATCCATGGTCTGCATCCTACCTGCCACCCAGCTTCTTCGGCCCTCGACAGACCCAGGAAAGAAAACAGAAGCCACAATGCTGTCCACGGTGGCTGTGAATGCCACACTCCTAGGTGAGCAGAAATACAGTTTGTTCCACGTGCAAGAAATTTCCGTTCCCACCTATGCCTTCTGGTCTCTCTTTCGCTGCACCCATGGTAGCCTCACTGCCCAAATGGTTCTGTGTACATGTGTGTGTGTGCAGGCGCATGTGCATGTGCACATGTGTGTGCATGCATCTCTGTGTGCTTACGTGTGTGTGTGTGTGTGTGCACAGCTCTCCACACGCCCCAGGTAATCGCACCCACAGTAAAATGCAAAGGCCCTGGAAATCACCCAGTTGGGAGGGGTGCTCCAACAGGCATCTCTCCGCCTCCAGGAAGCATGTGTCCAAATCATGGACAACAGCTGGGTATTTTCCAGCTTTGAAAGCTCTTCGAGGAAATTGGAACATGTCTGATCCCATCCTGGACCAAGTTTCAAAATACATTTCTGCAGACAAATCAACTTCCTGGTGCATCACCTGACTCACGGCTACGCCACACTGTCTCCTTCCGTGACTGCCTGCCCCAAATAAGAGATTACCTTCCCATCATTACTGAAAAATTTCCCACTTTGCTTCCAGCTCATTCCACAAACAGGCCTTAGCGATATTAGACATTAGACGGTGCAATTTTGAAAGGAGAAATGTAAGTCTCTCTTAAAATATCAGCTAGTCTTTGTTCAGTTTTTATCTTTACACAATTCCAATACTTTCCCCCCTTTTTTACTTATGTGAATCAGTGTTGTGCAGCCCAACCAATGGGCTCCTGCGTCAGCGTCGCTGTTTCTAATTATTGAACATCTAGAAACAGTTCCAGACAACCGCTCAGCCTCACGTTCCCACCACCAAAACCTGGGGGACACAATTCTTGCTTACAAAATGCTGGAGTTAAGGATTGAAAGACAACTTCCATTATAACCTCCTGTTTTCACTCACTCGTAATTGTCCAAAAATCATCTTTTTGCTCCAAATCATTCCATGCTTTGTTTCCACCCTAGGGATGAAATTGCTTGGAAAGTTTGCATTAAAGTGGTTTAGCCAGTTTGGAAGCAGACAGCTTGGGGGAAGAATAGCCTTCCTCAGCAGATACAGCATATCTCTGGCTGGGGACAACCCCAAAGAGCGGTGCCCTGGTGACACCAGCTCTCTTGCGTGGGTGGTGTCTTTCCAAGGGAGGACGTGTCTCTGAATGGGGCGGAAATTCAGAATTTCAAAAAGAGAAATC